TCCCCACCACAGAGTGAATGTCATTAAGATGTACAAAGATCTGAAAGAGGGGAAAATAATGTTAGAAACTCTCAACCTGACACAACAGTAGCTTTAACTCATTTAAACCAGACACAGAAAATGTTTCTATGAGCTTCTGATTCTAGTTTTGAAGAACAGAAATACAATTTAGACAATTGTGATTAATGGAAAGAAATCACACTAGGTAATCTGAATGTCACTTTAAAGAGGATTTAGTATGTAAGCAAGCTTGGAGGGGAATTTTGCCAACCAGAAATCTACCGGCAGGCACTTCAGTCTTCAAGGGAACTGATTTTTGTAACACTGAATGGATATTTTTAGTTATAAAACTATTTACTCTAAGCAGAAGATTATTCACTTTATACTAGTACTCAGCTATTCACATCCAAAACAAAAAACCCAATACAAGTGCCACTGAGGGCCATTTCAGATGGAAGGTAAATCTGGGTAATCCTTCCAGAAGTATAAGGCAGCTCGAAGAAATCGTCCTCCTGTCCCACAGAGAGCATCCCAAAAAGATGACTGAGCTCCCCAACAGGTATTGCACAACTGCAGTCCCTCCCCAGGAAGCCCAAAGAGAACCACGATGCCTTTGCAATACTCCAGTCCTCAGCACCTAAACGGTTTCAGAGCAAAAATCTGGATGAGAACAGGAGCCCATCTGAGGGTCAACAAAGCCACACTTCACACACAGCCTGGGAAAACCAGAGCCTGTAGATGAACTCAGAGCTTTTCCAGAAGGCCTCAGACCTCCCAGCATCAGGGCTGAGAGCAGCCTCCCTACACCAAGCACAGGGATGGAGAAGTATCTGGTCAAGAGCAACAAGTCCTCTCCAAGGTCTCCAGGCAGCTTGCACCATGGAGGGTGCCTTAAGCAAGCTGCTTGTCAGTGACAGGGTCTAGGAGGAGGCTCTTGCATAAATGGCATTCTCAAGTTAGGTTCCTCTAGAATACAACCTTATGGCGCGTGCTCTTCCCTTACAGAGGCTAAACTAGCTGTCCAATGGCTCAGCTGATCTCCATTTTCAACAGAGAATCCAGCAGTTTGTAAGTGTGCCAGATCCTGAGACATCACCTGTAGGGATCCTTCCCCTGACACACATGCTCAGGTTGACTGTCCTGCTGTTTACTGAAGCGCTCTGGAAGGCGTGCACACAGTGGCTACCAAAAAACTTAGCTCAGCACTACCAGATGATTTCTAGTTAAATTCAGCACCAGAAAGACAAAGAGGGAGAGGCCACGGTCCTGAGTGCAAAGGGAGCAGAGAACAGAACAAAAGATATCGGCAGGGGGGGCAATTCTGGAAGAAGCAACAGGCCACCTGGCAGACAAGCACCACTACCTCTAGATCGGGGTCCCGCAGATCAGCCTGCCACCCAAACTGCTTCATCAGTGCTATGCCGACGGCTCTTCCGCCCTCCTGCAAGGGGAAAGGACAGGCAGAAGCAGTAAAAATAACAAGATTACCAAAACTACAGATCACAGCCTTGACTTCACAATCCTTAGAAATACTTGTGAAAAGAGTCTCTCCTTATCCTGAGGAGAACAATTCATACAAAGACCAGAAGAGCTATAACAGGGCACAGTGAGTGAGCGAGGGGCAGAGGAAACACACCACAGGACAAAACGACTATCATTCAGCTGGAGTGTGAGAGGCTGAAGTTCAAGTCCTGCCCAAATTACAACAAAAATTGCCATCATTTCAGGATTATGTATCATGCACAAAATATTTCCGATGGCTGTAAACTAGATTACCTACGAGAAAACCTGTGAATGCACAACTGCAACTCACAGTTTTGATGCTTTTATGGCATCTAGAAAGCTCTGACTACCTTCAGGGAATGAGAGTTCAAACACATAGCACAAATTTAAGTAAACATTCATGTTGGCAGGCTCATGTGTCCCACCTTCCCAAGGTACTAGCTTTAGTAGGGAAAAAAAAAAAAAAACAAAATTAAATGACAGTTATCTTCAAGTAAGAGAAATCTACATAAATTGCAGCTACACAGGGTTTGGTTTTTTCATTTTTTTATTTTCCTCACAGTAGAAAGGTATTATAGACAAGAAGAGTGCTGGATGGAAGGGGCCCCTGGAGGTCTCTATACCACCCTTCTCTCCCAGGCACCAAGATCCACCCACCCAGGACACACCCCAGGGCTGCACCACCCTCCTGGGAACAGGTTCTCCCCAATACCCAGCCGGAGCCCACCAAAGCTAGAAAGTTCTGGGTTTGCATCTTCTTTTACACTGCCACAACTGGGAGGCGTGCAGCTCCATTGTCCTTGCTATGGCCCTTTAAGTAACTATAAACTACTATCAGGTCACTCTTCAGGCTCCACAAGCCCAGCTACCTCAACCTCTCACCTTTACTTAACCTCAATAAAAGACATTGATTTGAAAAATATTCAGGGTAACAGTGCTCAGAAATTAACAGCAGCCCTTACTGTTGTTATTTCCACTTGTTTAAGGTAGTAAATGCAGGCTAAAGGCCTTTTTGAGAAAAAAGCTCATCGCTTGTTTTTTTTCTAAAACATGGAACACAGTCGAAATGACCAACTACACGTCTCCCCTCACCTTCGCTGAATTCTATGAAAACACAAGACACCTCAGCATACCTGTGAAGTCAGTATTTTGGCAATCGCTCCACTACAACGACAGGAAACTCGGAAACTGAAGCTAAGCTTCTCACTCACAACAGGTTTCTCTCCACTCCTTTTGGAAGGGTCTTGTAAGGAAGCCGTGCTTTCAGTCCAGCAGTCCTGATGGCTTTTTCTCTCTGGTATCACACACATCTCTCCAGCTTCCACCTGACATTCCTCAGACACAGTCTCTCTCACTTGTTCTGTTTTCTGCCTTTTAGTTGCAACATCTGTCTCTTCTGATTTTCTCTTGAGAGGCAACTGGTTTTCTTGAGAGACATCATCTTTTCTCCCCTCACACCCACAAAAGTTTTTCCAAACAGAGATAACATCTAGCCAATACTTCCGTTCCTCAATGACAAGGCTTTTAATCTCATGCAGCATTTTCCCTGGAAGAAAAAGCAGTTCCAGGTTAAGTAGTTCAGTCTCAGCATTTGATTCTCCTATGCACTGAGAAAAGCAGTTAACAGAGACTGCATTCAGATTTCATCAGTATGTGAATCCAGGAACCGCAGCAGCAGCAATCACTGGCACAGCCGAGCTCTCAACACCCACATGCCCCACCAGCAGAGACCCAGGCATCCCTCTGATCACAAGCTCTGCAGAACCAAGATTAAATCGTACAGGGGTTGAATCCTGCAGCTCCAGAAAACCAGATCACCTCTGAGAGTCACTCTGAGGGATGGAGGACCAGCCTAGCATGCCATCATCCCCAGAAAGCACTTGGTCCAGGATTAGAGATGTGAGAGACACTTTCCAGGACTGACAGATGCCAACAGGAATCGCTGATTCAGCTCAGGCAAAAAAAGCCACAAGTTGATTCTTTTACAAAGGAAATCTCTCCTTGCTATTCATCAATCTGCCTTCAATCCTGCAAAGTCTCCAACACACACCTCAACTTACACCTGTGGGTAGTCCTCTTGAGCTAGCTATGACAAGAGAGGCATGGGGAATATAGAGACCAATTCACTTGAAAACCTCGAAGCTGGTCAAGGGGGCGGGGGGGGCAAAGTATTTCTATTTCTCATTTTAAATCATGATTAAATTCGATCCTCAAAGCTGAAAGCCACCCATGATCTCCAAAAAAAAAAGTCCCACCAACACTCAGATATCAATCCATCTAACTTGAAATTCTTATTCCAACACTAACAAAGAATGCAACCTGAGTAACCGGTATTATGGGACATCTATGCATTGAACAGTGAAGCGACACAGGACATACCTCTAGAACCGCCTGCCTAAAGGAAAAAGGCTCACAAAAGGCCTAGAACTGGACTTCGGCTATGGGGGATGTTTGTTGTTTTCTTTAGCGGGGGTGTTGGGAGGGTCTTACACATACACATATATGCATAGTGCTAGCAAAACACAAGCTGGTAAGACAGCAATTTAAAACATTTTTAAAGCCATTTATAGCACTAAAAAACCCCATTGAACACACACCTGGGTGAAAGATACCTCAGAACTGATTCTTGTCCATTAGAACTACAGCTGTTAGTCGATAAATAAAATAAACTTAATATTAATTTTATAAATAGGAGCCAAACCGGGGCTTCACGGTGCTGAGCACACCGCCCCTTGAGCAAACCGGAAGGGAGGACCCGAGGGAAGGAGTCGGTGCCACACCTTTATCTCTAGACACCGCCAGCGGGGGGTGCTTTTTGAGCAGCAGAAACAGTCGCTCCCCAGACTTGAGTTTCCTCAGCTCGCCCGGCTCCGCCTCCGTGCTGAAGAAGACCTTTCCCGAGACGCAGTCCACCTCAGGGGAAAAACAGAAACCAAAGCGGGATGGTCTTCTGGGTGAGCGCCTTCAGCAGCCCCTCACCACCGCTCGTCCCCTTCGCAGGGTGCGGGGCAGCACAGGCCTCAGCTCGCCGCGGGTGGCGAGGGGACACGGCCTGACCGAGGGGCAGCTGTCCCTGCCCACGGCACAGGCGGAACCAGACGGCCTTTACAGGTCCCTTCCGACCCCGACCCGGCCCGTGGGGCCCCAGGCAGGTGGCGGGCACAGCCCCACGCC